TTTGCATGCCGCCGCCCCGGCCCGGTCGCATCCGCCCCGCCCCGCCCCGCCTCCCCCACTCAGACACAAAGTGCGCCCGGGAGGTGGGTGTGGGGGGCGGGGGAGATATTTACCGCCGGCACCTCGCACCGTACATTCTCAGCAGCGGCAGTAGTGGTACCACCGCTGAGGGAGCACAGAAAGGGGGGGAGGAGTGCACAAAAGAAGTCCCAGTGAGCAGCGCCCAGCAAAAGCCCCGCCGCCCGGGCCCGACGCCCGACCCGTCCAAGAAGTTATCGCTTGCTAATGAGTCCAGCTAGAGCCAGCCAGCCTTTCTCGTGGGCCAAGCAGCACTGCGCACACGGTGCTGGACCTCTGCAGTTTTGCCTCCGCCAGTTAGTTGCCGCCGTCGCTGCCAGTTGACCATTTCACCCACGGTCGGTACACTGTGGCACTGCCGGCCGGTTGGTCCTGCATCTGTGCTGGCTGGCAGAGGCGCGACTCAGAATGAGATTCCAAACGAAACAGACAGGCTCTTTGACCACGCAAGTACATTAGGGAGTCTTCGAGTTGAATGCGATGCATTTTTGGATGAGTAAGTTTTCATTATTTGTGAACAAGATTTATTTTGTGCTTATTTCATTGTGTTTACTGATTTTGCATTTTTCTTTTAAGCAAATTAATTAATAAAACTTGCTACTCTTGTAAGTCTTGCTTGAAGCTGTGCTATGTTATGCCTGTTGCCGTTGGCAGCACAGCACATTTTATCTCTGGCTGTGGACTGAACTGCGCATGCGCAGCTGAGTCATATCGGTGCCGATGGACCCCCTCTCTACCCCGGCTGTGGTGTAGATGGAACTGGCAAGTGGCGGGCTGGATCGTCTTTTCCGGGATACCCTCTTGTATACCCTCTCTTAAGCGTAAAAAAATAATGAATTTGATGGTCATAAGTTGCCGGCCGCGCCCAGCCCAGCTCAAACTGTCCAGGATCTAGGCAGAGTCTAGGCGCCGCTCGCTGGCCCCCCGTCGATCACACCGCCTCCCAGAGGTCGGCCCGGCGTCGCCCGCTCCCAGACAGACACTGCCCTGTCCTGTCGTGTACAGCCTAGTCCGGCCGCCCGAAGTTGGGTCCAACTCCGAGAGTCGGACCATTCACTGGGTCAACCGGAGCGGTCCAGTTGCGGCTCGTGGCGCGGCGTGTCGTGGCGTGGCGCGGCGGGGCGCGCGGCGGGGCGCGCGGCGGTCTGCCGCAAAGGTCGAGGCCGGGCCAAAGCCGGTGTCCAGCGGCGGTGTCCAAGTGCGTCCAGGTGCACCGCCCGCCCATTTCTGGCGCTGCCGCGACTTACCCAACCAATCAGCTGTTTATGTAGAGGGGGCAGGGGAGGGGGCAAGACGAGGGTCAGGCAGCGCGACCGAGTGTTCTGCCGATGAGAAATTCATCTGGGTCCGGACGGACGGTACGGAACGGGGAGGGCAAGAGCGACCAGAGTGGAGGGGAACGCCTCGTCACGGGCCCGGTGTGCCGG